ACACACACACACACACACACACACACACACACACACACACACACACACACACACACACACACACACACAAAGCTTGTATAGGTCCTCTGGACGGGTTCTTCTCTAATGAAACGTTTCGTCTCTCCTCCAAGAGACTTCTTCAGTCTGAGAGTTTCAGGCAAAATTCAGGCTTTTAAGCACTGCCTCCATGTGACATGAGAGGAACGTTGGTTTGAGAGAGGAGTAAAAGAAGCCATTTTTGTGAAGAAAGACCGTCCATCATTAAACAGAGGTGGAGGCCTCCGTTTTCAGTTGTCCCCCTCCTACAGTGCTGCTATTGCCAGTATCACTCCACCCCTGTTAACAATAGGTGTTAATTAGGTGTCAACGATAGCCATATGATGTATCAGTCACATGGAGGCGGGGCTTAAAAGCCTGAATTTTGCCTGAAACTCTCAGACTGAAGAAGTCTCTTGGAGGAGAGACGAAACGTTTCATTAGAGAAGAACCCGTCCAGAGGACCTATACAAGTTTTTCCTTTTTGATTTTTTACCTGGATTACTGAGATGCATCAGGACATGAATATGACCTAATTCAGAAAATCTTTTCAGGACCCCACCTTGATGTTTCAGGACCCCACTTTGGGTCCCGACCCCAACTTTGGGAAACACTGGGCTAAAGGGCAATTCCACTTGTTTTCACCTCGAGCATTTTTAATCTGCTATAGTTTAAAAACATGTAGACATTTCAAACCTGGATACTGATTGTAGGATATTCAGCCATTTGTGAAATCTTCAGTTTTTCTCATAAATTTTCAAGTTGTTTTTTTATTGTGAATTCCTGACTTTACAATGTCAGGAAATATTTTGTTTAAATATTAAAAATTTATGCCTTTATTCGTGGAAATTTAGAGATTTTCTTCAGCCGTTCAGTCCACAAAATGTAACATTTATGTAAGCGCTTGTGTTTTAACATCAGGTTCATGAGCTATGAGTCAGAAATACATCAAACCCAACCCAACACTTTTTTATTTCATCCTCACCGACAACTTTCAGCTCCAGGCTGAAGGAGCTCTGCCCCGCCTTGTTGCTCGCGATGCAGGTGTACGTGCCGGCGTCGCTCTGCGTCAGAGGGTCGATGACCAGCGAGTGGACGCCGTTCTCTCGGACCAGCATCCTGTGGCACAGATCCGGGTAGATGGGCCTCCCGTTGACCAGCCACATCAGCTCCGGGCTGGGGAGGCCGCTCACCTGAATCACAAACAACAACAACAACAGTAAAGACGGGCGAAAACTCTTTAAATTCTAAATTAAAACACGCTGACGTACTTTACAGTCCAGTCTGCAGAGTCTGCCCTCGTGAGCCATCGTGTCCCCCGGAGCCTGCAGGAAGTGAGGCCGGAAAAAACGCTCCTGGGTTTGTTCGCTTTCCACCTCCTGAACGCGAGCTCGCACCCTGACAGGAAGAGGAAGTCACAGGGTGCAGACAGACACGCTAATCTGTGGACGTTTTCTGTGATTCGAGAACAAACAAACCCTCTGCAGGTTCTCCTGGTATCCAAAAGGAGTCATAATGTTTTTGTTTGTTTCTTGTCAGCAAAATACCTCAAGAACCTCAAGAAGAAACGATTGGACGAACAGATACAGKGTGAGTCAAAAGACTCAGGACACCCTTTTATTTCACATCAGAATACCCCGGCAAGCAACAGGTGAGGGGGTCTGTCTTGTAGACTATGTCCAGATCATGGCCGCCATCTTGAAGCCTCCATACTGGATCAAAGTCAAACTCTTCCAAAGGGAAGAGGGTCATGTGGCATATCAAAGAAGACCAGAATTGTCTCAGAAATGGAAATCCTTAAGGATATCCTTTTGATATACATGTATATATATTTTTCTCATTTTTCTTTTTATATTTTTCTTTTTATTGTTTATTGCATATAAAATTATTTGTTTTGTTTTAATGAAATAAATAAATTGAATTGAACAAAAACAATTATATACAGTTAAAAAATCATGTAAAATTGATGAGGAGAATTTACTGTGCAAGCTTTTACAAGTGTTTGAACACGTGTGACTGATTAAATGTATAAACCTTACAAAAACTGGGGATTCGTGTGCAAACATGTTGAACAAATACTTGGCCCCTCTATGAATATTGTGGCCCCCCGATGGCCCCTTACACTAAAAAATCCTAGATCCGCCACTGTCTGAATCTGAATCTGAAATGTTTGCACATCAGATAACGAGGTTTTCAGCTCACCTCTGGGACTGGATCGGCGTCAGGCGGTTCCGGGGTGGTCCAGACTGGACGATTAAATGTCCCGAGCAGCTGATCCGTCCCTGATGATCGTTTAAAAAGAAAAACAATTTCGAAAATGATTTTAGGGAGAAGGACGAGAGGAGCAGACAGACGAACCTGTGGGTTGGCGGCCATGATGGTGTAGTTGCCGTCATCGTCGTTGGTCGTGGACTCGATGTGTAAAGCGCAGGTGCCGTCGCCTTCCCTGATCTTCCTGTAGTGGAGGTTCTTCCTCAGAATCTGCTTGCCGTCCTTGAACCAATAAACCTGAAGAGGAGCATCGACGTCTGCGAGGAGGTCGAATGAAAAAAAAAAAAGACGTTTCGTGCGTTAAAAATCCTCTCACCTTCGGGAGCGGGATTCCCAACACTTTACAGGTGAAGGTGACCGGCACGCCCTCCATCGCCTTGAAGTTCTTCAGCTTCTTCTCAAAAACCGGCGCGATGCATTTCCCCGTCGGGACGTCGTCGTGCTGCACCTCGTCATCCGACTCCTCCACCGGCGTCCGCTCCAGGCGAAACTCGATTTCGCTCATCAGCCTCTGTTCGAAATTGGACACTTTGTACTCCTGGAGCGAGAAAAACAAATAAAACATCAAATTAATGCAGAGGTAATCCAGAAGATAAAACAGGAGAAAACAAACTGCTCAGTTTTTAAATCCAAGAATTTGTTTAAGTGCAGGATTTGACATTTGACAGCATTACCTGTATTTGTTTTATTCAAATCTTATGTATTTATTTAGTTATCTTGCATGAAATGTAAACAAACATATGAAACATTTTTTTGAGAAAAAACTGCAAAATTTAGTCTGGCTGAAAGATATAATGAAATACAACTAATAATCTGCACAGATTAAGAACAAACAGGGTTGATTCTTTTTGTCTTAGTACATGTTAGATATTAGTGAACAGAAGCAGGAATGCAGGATTATTTAATATAATTAACAATCATTTATAAATTGAGATGTTAATTACATATGGAATGCCAAAAAGGACATAATTCATGTACATTAAAATGTCTGACGGCATCTATTAAACACTGTTAATTATGCCCTTTAAAACACTACGAAGCGTCTAAAGAATGTCAGGCCACACGACATTACGGTAATTAAACATCTGATGGTATGTATGGAGATCCACAAGTGACAATTTGTGTACTTTTAAATCCCATGTGATGTCAAGTAAACATTAATTTATTAAATGTTTACTAACATTTATTAACCATCATGCCTTTAGACATTATTTAAACGTCCAATGGGTTTTACTGTATGGAGAGCCAAAAGGGACACAATTCCTTTGATTCAAAATGCCTGACAGTGTCTATTATACGTTGTTATTAACGCTGACAGGGATTTAATGAGCAGCACCTGGTATTTATGAAGTGTCACCTAGAGTTTAAGTAATTATACGACCTTATGATTGTTAGGTGCCACCTGGCATTCAAGCATCAGGCATTATTTAAACCAATTATTTAATTGTATGGAAAGCCAAAGGGGACACAATTTGTGCAGTTTTAAACATCAGGTGGTGTTTATTGAACATTGTTATTAACACAAGATTTTCATAAACACCACCAGGCATTTATTATGTGTCACTCAGGGTTCTATAAATCAGTGTTTCCCAAAGTTGGGGTCGGGACCCGAAGTGGGGTCCTGAAACATCAAGGTGGGGTCCTGAAAAGATTTTTGGAATTAATTCCATTTTTGCCTTAGTTGTTACAAAGGAGTGAGGTTAGTGTATTTAAAATGGATAAATGTAGTATAAAATATATTGTTACTATGCCCATGTTTAATTGACCTGAAATGTTTATCATCCAAAAATAGTTGGGGCATAGGACTCTGCTACTGTTATTTTGTGGGTCAAAAGCTGAAATGTTTGGGAACCACTGCACTTTGGTTCCCAAAGTTGGGTTTGGGACCCAATTATGGGTCATGAAGCACTTTGGATAATCTCCAGAAATCAATTTAAAGGGTAATAAAATAATTGCTGATGTAATATCTTCCCTATAACCATTACAAAAACACATAATAAGCACAAATAATTATTTATATTTGTGTACAAGCTGTTTAGATTGTCAAAAAGCCTGTGTTTTTAGGGTTATTAACAAAGTTTGTGTACTCGGACAGTAATATTTGGGGTCACAAGTTTTTGCCATGAATATTTTGTAGGTCAGAAGACAAAAAGTTTGGGAACCACTGCTATAAATTTCAGACCCAAATTAAACATCTGTTGGGATTAATTTTATGGCGAGCCAAAAGTGACACAATTCGTGCACTTTCAAATGCCAGATGGAGCCTTTAAAACAAATATAAGTCATCCAGTCTTGGGCAAAGCAGAGTTTGGTGAAGATCCTTGTACCTCATCATAGTTAAAGACAGTAGCAGGAATGTTTGGTCCAAGGGGTCTGCTGGCTGTTTCCCCCTTGTTATGCAGCTTCTATGAGAGGACAGGGATGGATAATGAGCACCAAAGACACACAGATGATACAAACAAGCGCTTCGGGTATGTTGTTACAAACACACAGTGAACGACAGGAAGTGATGGAACTAAGGTCAGTTTATTATGTATTAATTTGTGCCCCTCTTTGTTTAAAAATAAATTTAAAAAATTGCCTGTTTTACGTTTAAACACCATCCCTGCAGTTTGTAAGGAAATAAATGATTGCTTCAGAGGCTACCTGTTGATAAGAAAACTGTGGTGTTTCGTCTTTGAATCGAAGTTTCTTYTCGATGTGGTGGAGGAGGAGTTCTTTGCTTTCCCGGACTCTTTCGGCTGATGGGAGATGAGTCTTTGGTGTTTTCTTCTGAACCCTGCGGGGACACAGTGAAACCACGATGGAGTTAAATGGGTGGAAGTTCCTTCTCATGCAGAGGAGACACGTACCCTGAAGGAGCTCCTTTGGGAAGACCCATGGAGTTGGTGGGCTGACTCAGGGTCAGCGACGGCAGGACGGAGCTCAGGAAGGCCACGGGGTTCTGGATCGGGCTGGGGGTGGAGCTGCTGGAGGTGGGAGAGGAAGCTTGTGGTGGGGACTGGGCCCGGAAGGCCAGCACAGACCCTAGCGTGGGCGATGACACGAGGGATGGAGGGCTGGTGGGGGACTTGAGCACCCTTGTTGGGGAGATTCTGGGCGGTGGTGAGAAAGGCGGGGGGATCGGGGAGCTAGCCTCCGAAGAGTTGAGCTCAGCGGCAAGCTCTTGGAGGAGAGGAACCGGGGATTCGGTTAGGGACGGACTCCTGACGGGGGAAAAGGTCTGAGCCGCGATGAACTCTTTGGGCCGGGTGTAGTTGAAGGTGTGGGAGATGGAGGTCAGGTTCATGAGGGAGGCGTGGGTGCTCCTGAGTTGTGGGGTGGGGGATGTGATCTGCTGTAAGGTCAGGTCTGTGGGGACGGCGTTCAGCGTAGGTGCTGGGGGACAGAACTGAGGTCTGGGTGCAGTTCTGGCGAGAGCGGCGGGGGAGAGGTTCAGGTGGGAGGCGTGGATGGTGTTGATATGGCTCACGAAGGATGCGGGAGGTGTGGTAAAGTTCGGGGCAGGAGGCGGGGATGTCACAACAGAGGAAGTCCTGATCTGAGGAGCGGAGGACGTCTTGATTGGAGGTGGACCTGCTGGGACAGAGGTCTGTGATGGCACCGGGGGCCGCACAGGACCCAGTACCGGGGGCGCCGCAGGTCGAGGGATCGGCTGCGAGGCAGAGATCGCGCCGAGACTCGACTGGAAAAGCGGAGCCTGAGGCTCACGCTGCAGCCTGGGAGACCACAAGGAAGTTTCTTGAGGACTTTGCACCTCTGATTGGACCTGGATCTGGAATGGGGTCTGGGACTGAGGCTGAGGTTTAGGTTCTTGCTGTTGCTCCAGGAGAACCTGGCTGTGCAGAAGCTGCAGCTGAGCAGGGTCCCTGTCAATCAAAGAAAAAATAAAAAACAAACTTAGCTAAAAAAACAACAAACACTCCTGCAACATGAGCAACCTGGTCCACAAGAGTCCCTGTCCTCCAGAGTCCACGGCCACCAAAATCCCCGTCTACCAGAGTCTATGTCAACCACAGTCCATGGCCACTACAGTCTGTGTTTCTCTCAGTCCCTGACCACTACAGTCCCTGGCCACTACAGTCCATGACCACTACAGTCCCTGGCCACTACAGTCTGTGTCTCTTTCAGTCCCTGGCCACTACAGTCCCTGGCTACTACAGTCCATGAACACTACAGTCCATGACCACTACATTCTGTGTCTCTCACAGTCCCTGACCACTACAGTCCCTGACCACTGCAGTCCCTGGCTACTACAGTCCATGGCCACTACAGTCCATGGCCACTACAGTCCATGGCCACTACAGTCCATGGCCACTACAGTCCGTGACCACAGTTCATGGCCACTAAAGTCCGTGACCACAGTCCATGGCCACTACAGTCTATGTCTTTCTCAGTCCCTGACCACTACAGTCCCTGACCACTACAGTCCCTGGCCACTACAGTCCCTGGCCACTACAGTCCCTGACTACTACAGTCCATGACCACTGCAGTCTGTGTCTCTCACAGTCCCTGACCACTACAGTCCCTGACTACTACAGTCCCTGGCTACTACAGTCCATGGCCACTACAGTCCGTGACCACTACAGTCCGTGACCACTACAGTCCGTGACCACAGTTCATGGCCACTACAGTCCCTGACCACTACAGTCTGTGTCTCTCACAGTCCCTGACCACTACGGTCCCTGGCCATTATAGTCCCTGGCCATTATAGTCCCTGGCCATTACAGTCCATGACCACTACAGGCTATGACCACTACAGTCCCTGGCTACTACAGTCCCTGGCTACTACAGTCCATAGCCACTACAGTCCGTGACCACTACAGTCTGTGACCACTACAGTCTGTGACCACATTCCATGGCCACTACAGTCCATGGGCACTACATTCCACGGCCAATACAGTCAATGRGCACTACGGTCCATGACCACTACAGTCCATGACCACTATAGTCCATGACTACTACAGTCTATGGTCACTACAGTCCCTGGCCATTACAGTCCCTGGCCAATACAGTCCATGACCACTACAGTCCATGGCCACTACAGTCCATGACCACTACAGTCCATGACTACTACAGGCCATGGCTACCACAGTCCCTGGCTACTACAGTCCATAGCCACTACAGTCTGTGACCACTACAGTCCGTGACCACTTCAGTCTGTGACCACTACAGTCCRTGACCACTACAGTCTGTGACCACATTCCACGGCCACTACAGTCCATGGGCACTACATTCCACGGCCACTACAGTCCATGGGCACTACGGTCCATGACCACTACACTCCATGACCACTATGGTCCATGACTACTACAGTCTATGACCACTACAGTCCATGACCATGCAGTTCATGACCACTACAGTCTATGGCCACTACAGTCCATGACCTCCACAGTCTATGGCCACTACAGTCCATAGTCACTACAGTCCATGACCACTACAGTCCATGGTCACTACAGTCCATGATCACCACAGTCTATGACCACTACAGTCCATAGTCACTACAGTCCATGGTCACTACAGTCCATGGTCACTACAGTCCATGGTCACTACAGTCCATGACCACCACAGTCTATGACCACTACAGTCCATGACCACCACAGTCTATGGCCCCTACAGTCCATGATCACCACAGTCTATGACCACTACAGTCCATAGTCACTACAGTCCATGGTCACTACAGTCCATGACCACTACAGTCCATGACCACTACAGTCCATGGTCACTACAGTCCATGACCACTACAGTCCATGGTCACTACAGTCCATGACCACCACAGTCTATGACCACTACAGTCTATGACCACTACAGTCTATGACCACTACAGTCCATGGTCACCACAGTCCATGGCCACTACAGTCCATGGTCACCACAGTCCCTGTCCACCAGTGTCTCTGACTACCATAGTCCCTGTCCACCAGTGTCTCTGACCACCATAGTCCCTGTCCACCAGTGTCGCTGACCACTACAGTCCCTGTCCACCAGTGTCTCTGACCACAGTGAAGACAGTTTTAAATCACCATGGACTGGGAGGACAAAGGAAAAACTTCAAAACCCTAAAGCTGGACTGAAACCTGCAGCTGTCCGCACAGACGAGACAAATGTCTTCTGGAGGAAAATTTAAAGGTCGGACGAGACAAAGACGGCTGTGTTTGGACACAGCTGTAGAATCGATCCATCCTTAAAAATGTTTCTTATAAATGATTAAAAACAAAATATGTCATCTATCTGATGAGTGGAAACTTCAGATTCAAACCAAGGATGATAAAGAATCGTTGATCTGTGATGATAAACTGCAGTAAACCTCCTGAGGACCAGGTCGGAGGAATATTTTGTCCTTTTATGGATGAACAACAAGACACGCTCAAACAGCAGCGTCTGCACAATAAACACCTTTAGCTTTCAAAACCAGACAGTGGTATTAATACACAGTAAAATATTTTTACCTAGAATATGAAAACAAATCTGACACAGATTATTATAAATGCCAAAAAAAGGTCCAACTTACAAATAAAAAACTCCATCCTGAGTTTTAGAAAGACGACAGATCCACATTTCAGGTCCAACATCAGCTCCTTTCTGCACTGAAATGATTTCGGCTGATATCTGAGCCGAAGCTGGAGGAATCACCCTCCTCCCCTGATGTTAAAACACCCCGTCAGGGTCCAGACCAAGTTCAGAACCCAGAATCTAATAGTTTAATCAGGACCTGAGGAGACCAGGTCTGCAGGTTTTAGAGGACCAGAGGAGACCAGGTCTGCAGGTTTTAGAGGATCTGAAGAGACCAGGTCTGGAGGTTTTAAAGGACCTGAAGAGACCAGGTCTGCAGGTTTTAGAGGACCAGAGGAGACCAGGTCTGGAGGTTTTAGAGGACCTGAGGAGACCAGGTCTGCAGGTTTTAGAGGATCTGAGGAGACCAGGTCTGGAGGTTTTAGAAGACCTGAAGAGACCAGGTCTGCAGGTTTTAAAAGACCTGAAGAGACCAGGTCTGCAGGTTTTACAGGACCTGAGGAGACCAGGTCTGCAGGTTTTAGAGGACCTGGGGAGACCAGGTCTGCAGGTTTTAGAAGACCTGAAGAGACCAGGTCTGCAGGTTTTACAGGACCTGAGGAGACCAGGTCTGGAGGTTTTACAGGACCTGGGGTGCAGGTTTTAGAGGACCTGAGGAGACCAGGTCTGCAGGTTTTAGAGGACCTGAGGAGACCAGGTCTGCAGGTTTTAGAGGACCTGAGGAGACCAGGTCTGCAGGTTTTAGAGGACCTGA